GCCTAGAGAGTTGCCCCTGCATGGCCCCATGGGAGTCTGACAACCAATCAGAATATTAGCACAAGATAAAAGGCTAGAGAGGGCATAAAACCAGAGGACTCAGCATCTCAGTCCTTCCTTCTCTTCTTCTCCACCAACATTGAAGCATGTGATCACCTTTTCTGTTCAGGAACTCAAGCCATGTGGTCCTGTCCACCATTAAAACCATCTTTCCAAGCAGCCTCCATGTCTCCAGTGTCTTTTTTCCCCCTTTCCTTCACCATTTCACTAAACTAGACCTTCTTCCTCCCCACAAAATCTACTCGTTGACCTTTTCCTGCTGCTCCCAGAACAAATTCAAGGCTCCAGCTTTCAAGATCAACCAATCAATCAAAGACAATAGAGCTGGAAGGGACTGTTGGAAGAAACGTCCTTCTGGGTTCGGCTTCAAGTGGGGAAAAAAGACACTGGAGACATGGAGGCTGATTGGAAAGATGGTTTTAATGGTGGACAGGACCACATGGCTTGAGTCCTGAACAGAAAAGGTGATCACATGCTTCAATGTTGGTGGAGAAGAGAAGCGGGGACTGAGATGCTGAGTCCCTGGTTTTATGCCATTTCTGGCCTTTGATCTTGAGCTTGTATTCTGATTGGTTGTCAGACTCCCATGGAGCCATGCAGGGGCAACTCTCTAGGCTGCGGTTTGAATCCAGGTTGGTTAAGTTCTCAGATGCCTTGTGGTGAGTTGGGTAAAGGGCCAATATTATTTCACCAAAAATAGGCCTGTTTTCACCAAAAATGGGGACGTTTATGAGCTCCCAAGTCCTCCGTGCATTGCAGTTTCGCCCTCCCAGCCCCCAGAAGCACTCTGCAGGCCAAGAACGGATGTGTTTTTGGTGAAAACAGGTGCGTTTTTGGCAAAAATGGGCCATGCGGTATACTATAGAGTGTTTCTGGGGGCCTGGAAGGGCAAAAACGTGTTGCACAGAGAGCTTGGGAGCCCATACCAGTCCTGCTTTTGGCGAAAACGGGCCCATTTCTGATTAAAACGGGCCATGCGGAGCACTGCAGAGTGTTTCTGGGGGCCAGGGAAGGCGTAACCACGATGCATGGAGGGCTTGGCAATGCACGGAAGCCCAAAAAATATTTTTTCATGTTTTCCCTCTGTAAATTTAGGTGTGTCTTATAGTCCAGTGCATCTTATAGTCTGAAAAACACACTTAAGTGTGATGGCCGCAACTTTGAGGAACAATTGTAATACTACTTTTTCAGCACCATTGTAAGTGGTAGGCGAGGACTGTCTATAAAACTGAACATCCCAAAAGGTACTCGATAACTATTATTTAGAAAATCTTAGGTTAAGCACAGTTGTGTCGGGATAATAAATGGATTGTGCACCACTAGAAAATCCTGCGTTTGTTTGTTAGGTATGGAAGTTTTTAAAAAGCACAGAAGGCAGCATTGGCATTATCAGTTCCATATTGTTTCCAAGTGAAGAAACTTAGCACACGCGCACGCGCACACACACACACACACGCTCTTAGAAGAATGAAATATGTTAGAAAATATTAAAAAGGCAGAATATTATATTTTCCCTAAAGGAGAAACATGTTTATAAAGACAGATTCTCAAAGCCTCAGCTCTCTGCCCCAAGGAGAAACAAAGGGGCCAACTTTTAGAAATGCATATTTGGTAATCCATTCAAGACAGGAATAGAACCCCAAGGAAGTCAGCATCTAGGATTAATTACATTTGGTAAACAAGATTAAAAGCCCCAACTCATTGCCGGCCTTTGGGAGACTAACTACCATATTTTTCGAAGTATAAGAAGCACCTTTTTCCCCCTCAAAAAAGAGGGTGAAAATCTGGGTGCATCATACACTGAATACAGCATTTTTTGGCCTCTGGAAACCCCGCTCCTTTTGCAAAAATGGCCATGCATAGTCTTTAGGAGGCTTCCAGAGTGGGGGACTGGAGAGAGCAAAAATGAGCGACAAATGGGCTGTTTTTTGCTTGTTTTTGTCCCCCCAACCCCCAGGAGCACTCTATAAGCCTCCTAAAGGCTATTTTGTCTCCCATAGTTGAGGTCTACCTATGATGTCAATTACAAGCCTCTCTCATCTTTTTAAGTGGGAGAACTTGCACAATTGGTGGCTGTCTAAATTCTTTTTTGCCCCACTGTAG